ATGGAAGCTGGACAAGAGACGCTAACTCAGTTCAGGCTGAAATCCCACTGGGTTCTCTGACCCACAATCCCTTTACCACCCTACACCTGACCTCATGTGCCTGCAGAGCTCTTCCCAACTGCAGACAAAACCAAATATCCTTCCTTTATTTCCCTTAGCAAAGCAGTGAAATCTTCCAAGAGAACTTTACCAAAGGTGAAGGAAGAACAAAGTCTGACCACAAGGCCAGTCATGCTTACAAAGTAGTGATTTCTGATCCTTCTGCCTCAGTGATTTGGGACTAGCAACTAAGATGGGGCTTGGAAAGGCCCTGGAGAAATAAGTCAGATCCAAGAACCCATTACATGGGAGTCCAGAGCTATGTGGATGCTCTCTTAACACCAAGAGACTGAGCTGTAAGCCAGAATACCAATTCACTCATTTACAACAGGAAATATAGCCACCATGGGTACTTGACAATCAATCCTCTGGTCAGTCCCTTCTCTTTCTATAGGAAATACAAATTGAAGCCAAATTATGACCAGAAGATTCCTGTGGAGCATGGAGTCAAACAAGAAGAATCAGAGACGTATACTGATGGCAAAGTTGGGGCAGCCATATGCATTCATGTGCTATGAGGATATTCTAAGCCACAGGGACCAGACACACAGTTCTTAGGCAGGGTACTATGTTTTCTGAACAGTCCATGATAAGCTGCCCCTCTGACTCTCATTTTCAATAATAATGATAACTAACAGTGATTGAACACTGGGTCCTATGCTAAGCATTTGATAAAAATTATGTTTATTTTCATAGTACTTTAATATAGAAAATAACTATTATTATCATTACCATTTTCTAGATGGGAAAACTGAGACTGAGCAAAGTGGATAAGGAACTTTCCTAAGGTCACATGGTCCAGCAGTACAGTCAGACTTTGGATACAGGCCTGTCTCATGCCAGAATCAGAGCTCTTAAACCCCTGTGCTACACTGTCTCCCAGTTTTCAAGAGGCCCACTCACCTTCAGTTGTGACAGTCCATCCATATCAATATGACCACTAGGCTGTAATTCATGGTGTTGTCATTTTACTCATTTCAAGAGATTTCTAGATGCCTCTCTATGCCCATCTGTGTGGTGCAACAGGAGAAACAGAAGCTCTGGAGTCAGTTGGCACCCTTACTTAGCACTTACTTGCTGCATGACAGTAGTGGACACTGTCAATGCTCTGACCAGATCCCCTTGGAGTGTCCCTAAGTTTTGGTGTATCCTTGCTTCTGACAGTTTGCATCTGTGACTCTTCAGGCTGAAACTACCCTCAGGAAAACTTGGCCTGCAACCACAATCCTGCTTGGCCTCTTCCCTTTCCTGTTCCCTCACTCTTTTACCAATTTCTCCTGGGAGCACATCCCTAACAAATGACTAGGACATCAATACTAATCTTAGGATTTGCTTCCGGACCCAACCTGGAACAACCTGGAGCAGGGATCACCAAATCCAGCTTGCTTCCTGTTTTTGTAAATAAAGTTTTATTGGAACACCGCTACTCTCATGTACTTATGTATTGTCTGTGGCTGCTTGTCCACTATAACAGCAGTACTGACTAGTTGTGACAGAAACTGCATAGCCCACAAAACCCAACATATTTCCTATTTGGCCATTTTCAAAAATAGTTTATCAATGCCAAACCTAGAGTAAGTCTACTAATACTTATCACTCACCTCTCAAGGTTGTCACAAAGATTAAATAAGTTAGAAAGAACCTAGTACATTCCCTAGCACCCACCGAGTAAATGCTCAACTTGTTTGTTGAGGTGGAATGTAACATAGGGTACTCCCTAAGTTGTGGGTTCTCTTTTTAGATTTTGGGAATACATAGAAAGTTTTCCTTTTTGATTTTTAGACTTTTCTCCCCTCTCTCCAAAAAAGGATATCTCCCAGTCAAGAAGATTTTAAGGCTGTATTATTCTGCCAATCACCAGCATGAAAATCACTGTGCGCTTGTTAAAAATACGGACTCCTAGGACCTACCTTGGGCTGTCCCTGGAATTATAATCTCAGGTTGGGTCCAGCATTCCAGGTGATTCTGATGCACACTAAAGCTTAAAAGACTAAGATCTATGGTAAATCTATAAATAAATGCAATGGTTTAAAAGCACAAAATCCAAGGGTTTTCACCTCTGGGGAGAAGGGGTTTGGGAGGACTACACAGAAAACCTTGAACATACCTGAGGCTTTTTATTTTGGCAGGCATTGTTTTAGTTATTTTTCATACTCACTCAATTGCCTTAAAAACCTGATAAAAAAGTACTCTTATTTTTGTTAAGACTAAGAAAATGGAGGCACAGAAACTTATGTATTTTGTTCAGGATTGTATAGCTAAGAGTCCATGATTTTGCCCATTATTCCACAGCTAAGATTACATGAGCCTAGATTCCAAAAGAATTGCCGTATTTTGTTGTGTATAATGCGCTCCCATGTATAATGACACCCATGTTTTAGGCCCAAACTTTCTGGGAAAAAAGTCTTTCGTTTTAATTTTTTTAATTCAAATTTTTACTTGTTTACATTTATATACTTGCTTTTTGTATTATAAAGGAATTTTAGCATTTATTTTATAACATTATGGTACAAGAAATTTTATGTAACAAATAATTACAAAACACAAGAACAGATACAAAGTCCAATAAATTTTATGTACCAGTAACAAATTTATGAGATATACACATCATGGAAGGCCAAGAACTCTTAGTCTTCGTCTGTAAGTTCAACAAAACTGATTATTGTATTCCAGAGTATTATTTTGCATATGAATATCATTATTGATTTCTAGAGTTACACTTTCTTTTTTAAATATGTAATTTTATTTGATGGGCGCAGCTCACAGTAGCCCATGCGATGATCAAACCAGCAACTTTGGTGTTATTAGCACCACGCTCTAACCAACTGAACTAACCGGCCATCCCTAGAGTTACACGTAAGCATAAATAAAAGAATTTAAAACACTTACATAGATACGGAATTAGTACTACGCATGTATAATGCGCATCCTTATTTTTCTCTCACAAATTCTGGGCCAAAAAAAGTGCGCATTATACACAGCAAAATACGGTAGCTGCCTCATGAGTCCAAGTTCTCAAGCTCTAGGTTATACTTCCTTCTAGTACTAGGAATGTTCTATTTTTCAAACTGAGTAGGGCATACACACACATATTAGATTTACTATTTAAACCCTACATATACTGTATTATAGATGTCTTTTATATATGAAATATTTCACTTAAACATATACATGCTTTTATAAATACCAAAATAAAAACTAATTAGAATGAAACCCATTGTTCAATCAAACTTTACTAGAGCCCCCAAGACTGGCAGTGGGAGAAAACCCCGAGGGGGCAGCTGGACCTCTCAGGAAACCCACCTTGCATCCCAATACCTGTTCCTTTCGGGGAATCGCACCAATCTCGGCTGCAATCTCCCCCTCTGACCCCAGAGGGCGCTGTCCTCACCGTCACTGCACGCGGGGCAAAGGACTAAGTTTTAATCAGAGCTTGGAAAGTGATGATAGATAAGTACGTCTAGGTGACAATAGCTCCCGGGGCCCATCAGCGCAAACAGAAAAGCGGTAGGCATTGTGCTTGAGGTGCCTGCATGTGCCTTATCCGACTTGAACTCGCAGTCCCATTTCTAGAAGTAAGTCCGAGGCTCAGAACGAGTTTATGACTTGTACTAAGTCATAGAGCCAACTAGCATTGGGACTTGAACTAATCCTCTGAGCTCTCCAATGCTCGAGGCTGCCTTCCGAGGGTAGGGAACGGGCACTGGGTCATCTACCACGCTCAGAGAGACTGTCTTTCTTCGGGGGCAGGGAGCGAACTAGGAATCGCTTGGCTCCTGTTTGCCCTGGCTAACTAAATACTGGCGAGATTCTGAAGGTACTGGATCTTGGCTCCTGACTGAGACGTCCTCTGAGAGGGGCAGACAGAGGCGAAGAAATCGGACGGGGCCTGGCCGGGACGGAGCCGGTCCAGTCAGCTCCACCTGGGCTGGGCAGCGCCAGGACTACCCACCTAGCACGAGGATGCGGTCCTCGGGCCGCAGTTCCGGGTCTAGTAGGGCACGAAAAGAGGAGAAGTCCCCGAACCACTCGTAGGGAGCAGAGTCGGCCGCGTCCCGGTAGCGTTGGTCCCAGTACTGGACCTCTCGGTACCCGCAGTTCTGCTTTGGTAACTTGGGCAGGGGTCCTGGGGCCCCCGGAGAGGCCATGCTTGCTGCTGCGGGGCCTGTAGAGGTGCCGGCCGTCACCTTTAGGAGAAGGCGTGGCCTTTGTGTCTCCGCCCACCAGTTGCAGTTGCTCAACATAAACACGTGGAACTTCCGTCTTCTGCTTAGCGCGCTTCGAAGAATCCTCCGGCTGGAAAAACAAAACAAATCACACGACTCCTCCGTCTGGGAAAACTATGCTGTCCAGACCCTGAGTCCTCCGGCTGTACTTCTTACTTACGTCTGAGAGCCATACTGGTGGTGTCAGACTCACTCGAGCTCATCACTGTCCCCTTTCATATCTTAATTTTGACCAGCTCTTTCCATTAAGGAGTAATTAATGAAAGGTTACTTTCTTCCTAGCTTCGTGCACCCGGAAGGCTCTGAGGAGTGGCAGGAAGGACGCAAAGGTTTTGCCCTCCAGGAAAGACTGACATGAACAGAGATATTCCCAACACAGGCGAAGTGCTATGCTGAGCGGGGAAAAGGGACGGGCAGAAAGGTGGTTTTTCTGGGCAAAGGTTCCATCCACCTTAGCTCCTATGTGTCCAGGGCTAAGTATATACTGAGGAGTAAGATCATTCCTGCTCGTACGGGGCGTGCAGTCCATCAGGGGAGACCGATGTAGAAGTAAATTTTAGTGGGGTAAATCAGGACTCTGGCAACTCGGGTCAGCGCTCAGTTCGTTAGGACACGCAGCGCGCGGAGCGGAACTTAAGTTCCAAAGTGTCGGGCTTCCAGGGTGGCGGGCCCACACAAGCGGCGCACCGTCAAAATGGCGGCGGGCACGCGGAAACGCGGCCGGGGGGGACCCGCTGCCCGGGCGGCGGGACTCTGCGAGCAATGGCTACGGCGCGTCTGGCAAGAGCGGCGCCTACTGCTGCTGGAGCCGCGCTACACGCTGCTGGTGGCCGCCTGCCTCTGCCTGGCGGAGGTGGGCATCACCTTCTGGGTCATTCACAGGGTGGCATGTGAGTGCGCCGAGGGGGAGGGGAGGGAAAGGGAGGGAGGGAGGGAGGTGAACCAGAATCCCCCACCTAAACCGTGACTTAGATTCGGAGCCAAATCCACCCCAGATCCACTCAGTCATCATTTGCAGACTCATATCTTTTACCCAAGTCCCAAGCCTGCTCCACAGAAAACCGAAACCCCATCGTGATCCCTATGACGGAAGGGACGACGCTAGAGATAGGCCTTCTGCCCAGAACGTACAACCTGCCAGGCTAAGAAATAAGAAAGTAAACCAACCTGGAAGTCAAAAGACCTGAGTCCGAGTTAATGTACTGCTGCTGCTGCTTGTTTCTGTTGCTTTGGACATATCACTTCCCCTGCTGGGTCTCAATTTTCTCATCTATTCAGTTTTGGGGACTTGAAAGTATTCTCAAAGATGGCATTTTGTGACTACTTGAGTCTGTTTGGCATTATTGGCGGCTTTTTTCCAGGCTGAAAACACTGGGCTTTCTTGCTAAAGATCACAAATTCAACACATTTATTTAGTGCCTATTATATGTCTAACTATGTTAGGTAGCAGGGGTACAGTGGTGAAAGACAAGCACATTTCATACTTGGGCGTGTGAGCCTGGACAAAGATAAGTTAGCAGAAAATTATAAGGCATCATATTCATCATAACAGTAGTAAGACAGAGTGATATAAAGGACACAGCAGGACACTTAAGCCAGACTTGAGGAGTCGGGGAAAGCTTCCTAGAGTCCCCTATGGAAGGTAAGAACTGGCCTGTTGAGGAAGAGAGAAAAGGGGAGGAGTGCTGTAGGCAGAAAAGGATCCTGTATAAAAAACCAGTTAAAAGGGAAAGTGGTTCTTCGGAGAAACAAATTTTTTAGAGCTGAAACATATTGTAGAACACAAGCAAGGGTAGTACTGAGAAATGAGATGGCATAAGTTGAGACCAGATCATGAAGGAGTCTGTAAGCTGCATTAAGGAGATAGTTAGCATGGTGATTAAGAATTTGGGACCCCATGAATTCTAATTTCAACTCTACCCTTCTTAGCTCGCTGATCTTAATTTCAATAATTCATAGGTTCCTCTTCTAAAAATGGGAATAATAGAGTTTGGTTTTTATCTTAAGCACCTTGGGGAATCATTGAAGGGTTTTAAGCAGAGAAACATGATATGATTTCTATTATAGGAAGAGCCCTCTGGTTGCAGTGTGGCAAATATATTGTGGTGAGGTGAAAGTGGAAGCTGGGAGCCTAATTATTTGCATCATTGAGGCTAGAGATTATGTTAGGCCCAAGTTTGATTATGGATGAGACAGTAGAGATATATAGGATGAAGAATAGGCAGGACATGGTGACTGGGGGTTGGAAATGAGAGAGAAGTAAGTATCAAAGATGTTACCCAGGTTTGTGACCTGGGCAGCTGGGAGGTTGATGGTGCCGTTCATGGAATTTCAAAAGGGGAGCAGATTTAGAGTAGGAGATTATGAGTTCAATTACAGATATGTTGAGTTTGAGATGCCTGGGTTCACCCAAAGAATGTCAGGTAGGCAGTTAGATAAGGGATTGTGATAGAAATCCTGAGAATGAGCTGGAACTCTGTGCTTTGATCAGCTGGAGTTGTAAGGGGCAGACAAGTTCTGGACCTGGAAGTAACCACACTGTCCCATCCTTTTCCAGATACAGAGATTGACTGGAAGGCCTACATGGCTGAGGTGGAGGGTGTCATCAATGGCACCTATGACTATACCCAACTGCAGGGTGACACTGGACCTCTTGTGTAAGTGGGGATAGTAGGTCCAGTGAGGATGTGAGGTGCTGACCAGGCTGGCTAGTCTGACCCAGATGCACATTTCCTCCCCTCTTCCAGGTACCCAGCTGGCTTTGTGTATATCTTTATGGGCCTATACTATGCCACTGGCCAGGGCACTGACATTCGCATGGCCCAGCACATCTTTGCTGTGCTCTATCTGACCACCTTGCTGCTTGTCTTTTTGATCTATCATCAGACCTGCAAGGTAAGTCCACACTACCAGGACCAGAGTCCCCAAACTGGGAGGGCTGGGGAGTGGGGATGGCCCAGGGTTGGTGAACTGACCTTCTTCCCCACTGTGCCCACCTCTCAGGTACCTCCCTTCGTCTTTTTCTTCATGTGCTGCGCCTCTTACCGTGTCCACTCCATCTTTGTGCTGCGACTCTTCAATGACCCAGTGGCCATGGCGTTGCTCTTCCTTAGTATCAACCTTCTGCTGGCCCAGCGCTGGGGCTGGGGCTGCTGCTGTTTCAGGTCAACATCCCTCCCTTTTGGTCCCCTTTGTTTTTGTATTTCCATCACTTTCTCCCCAATTTTCTGCAGCAGAGGGAGTAAGGGAGTGGCCAGACAATGTGGGTCAGTTAGGGCCCCATTAGGTAGTCCGATCTGTAGAAGATCTCCACCCCAACCCCCAACACACACACCGACTCTTCCCATCCTCTCTTCCTTCCAGACAGCATCTGTTGTTGGAGTTGGTCATTGAACAACCTTAATACTTAGTATACAAAGGGTGCCCCCCAAAAAGTACACACATTTTAAGAAAGGAAAAAACTGTATTAAAATTGTAATACTCAATATATACCAATAACAAAAGGTGAATACAAGTCACGTGTATACATTTTTTTGGCACACCCCACTCCCACCCCCACCCCGTTTATTTGCTCATTCAGTCTGGTCATAGAGACTCGGTGTCTGCTTCCTACCCCCAGCCTCTTGCCAGGCTACCTTACCCTCCCTCCTGCAGTTCTGAGTGTGGGCCCCATCCCGGAGCTTGCTGGTCAGGGAGGGGAGGAGTTGTTGTGATGGGGGGGTGCATCTTGGGGTGGGCACCTGGCCCTGGAGCTGATCTCCACCCTCTCTTCTACCTCCCCTAGCCTGGCAGTCTCTGTGAAGATGAACGTGCTTCTCTTTGCCCCTGGGTTACTATTCCTTCTCCTCACACAATTTGGCCTCCGTGGGGCCCTCCCCAAGCTGGGCATCTGTGCTGTCCTACAGGTACTCCTGCCCCACCCCTTCCCCTTTTTAATGAAGGGAGGCCACTCTGGCCTCTTCCAGCCTTGAGACTTCCTGAAAGCCAAGAGACAGGGCAGTGGACTGGGCAGCCACTACCTCTGGGCTTTGGTTTCTTTAGCCATAAAATAAGGGTGTTTAACTAAATGGTCTCTTAGGGCATTTCTAGCTCTGCCCATTTATGACTCGGTGAATCCAAACTTAAAACACTGTCATTACCTGCCTCCTCAGCTTCTTTGGCCCCAGTCTCTGGTCTGGAGGGTTTGGAGGGGTGGCTTTCTTGCTATTCCTAATGAGAATTAGGGAACTTCTGAGACCTACACCCTGTTCCCATTCCTCTCAGTGATTAGCATGAGGCTGGGGGTGAGCCTGGGCAGCTCTGCTGATATCACGCCCATCCTCAGGTAGTGCTGGGGCTGCCCTTCCTGCTGGAGAACCCAGTCGGTTATGTATCCCGCTCCTTTGACCTTGGCCGCCAGTTTCTCTTCCGCTGGACGGTGAACTGGCGCTTCCTCCCTGAGGCCCTCTTCCTGCATCGTGCCTTCCACCTGGCACTGTTGGCCACCCATCTCACCCTGCTCTTGCTCTTTGTTCTCTGCAGGTGGCACAGGTGAGAAGGGAGCAGTGCCTTGGGCAGAGTTGGGGAAAGAAGGAGCGAAGGGCCTGGGCTTTAGGGGCTGCTTGGGGGAGATTTTGAGCTCATGGGGGTACGTTTAGAGCTTGGCCCATGATGGGGGTTTGATAAATGTCTGAATGGCTTCTCCCCAGGACAGGGGAAGGTATCCTGTCACTGCTGAAGGATCCCTCCAAAAGGAAGGTTCCACCCCAGCCCCTCACACCCAATCATATCCTTTAAATCACGGGAAGGTAAGTCTTGCCCTCTCCAGGTGCAGATGGGGCCCCTGGTCAAGTAGCCCTGGATGGCTGGAGGCCTGGGGAGGGAAAAAGAGGCACCAGTAATAGTTACAGGGCCCATTCATAGAGCTTCTACTCTGTACCAAACACTGCGCTGAGCATTTACATATTTAAGCATATTTTATTCTTAATTCTAAATATTACTGAATGATCATTATGTGTGCTCACCCTCTGCCTAGTGCTGTGCTAAGAGATTTACACACATTCTAACATTTACAGCTTATAAGAGACCCTGATGTAGGCAGGTATTTTTATTATCCTCATTTTCAGATGGCAAACTTAGGGCTTTAAGAGATTAAGTAATTTACCAAGGTCACCCAGCTAGTAAGTGACGGACTCACTAGGCCTTACAGCCCTAGATTAATTACTGTCTCCACGTTAGATTGAGGAGCAGGTCCAGAGAGGTTAAGAAACTTGCCCAAAGGCATGCGTCTAGGAATAGCAGAGTCAGGGGGCTGTCTGACCCAAAACCTTTTGCCCCTCTGCTTTGGAACCTCTCTGCCCGCCCACACCTCCAGCCCCATCTCCTGCCCCTTCTGCTCCTGCCCTTGGCCTTGACCACTGCATACAGATAGTTTCTACCCTCTTCACCTCCAACTTCATTGGTATCTGCTTCAGCCGTTCTCTCCACTACCAGTTCTACGTCTGGTATTTCCACACGCTGCCCTACCTCCTGTGGGCCACGCCTGCACGTTGGCTCACACACCTGCTCAGGTACTGGCTGGGACACCCTGGGGGGTGGGGGAGAGGGAAGGGCTAGGGAGCTCCTCATCCCAAGGCTGTGACCATGGAGGGGCTGGGGGTGAGCTGAAGGGCTGGGGCCCAGGAACGACAAAACCTGGAGCTTATTTCTCATCTGCAGGTTGCTGGTGCTGGGGCTCATTGAGCTCTCCTGGAACACATACCCATCTACGTCCTGCAGCTCTGCTGCCCTGCACGTGTGCCATGCTGTCATTCTGTTGCAGCTGTGGTTGGGCCCCCAGCCTTTCCCCAAGACCATCCAGCACAGCAAGAAAGCCCACTGAGATCTACCTCTACCCCATTTTCAGGACCCTGATGCAGATGGACTCTGTGCCCTCCCTAATAAACTTTACCAAGTCCATTTCTGTGCAGCTTTCATGGAGGTGCCTGGACCAAGCTGTGAGGGGCATGTACACAGCAGATAAAGAACTTATTCAGGCAGTCCTAAGAGGCACTTTATTGCATAGGATTTGGGGACTGTGGCTCTCTCCCTTTCCACTGCACTGCATAGAGCTCAGAGGGGAACAGGCAGGGGGGTGGGAGGAGCAGGAGAGAGCACACGCAGGCACTTTCTGTGGGGGCAAGAGGATTCTGGGAAGGGGATGAGAAGCAGTGAGGGGTAGGCTCTCACCAACCTACCCCTTCCCAGCACCGAGAAGCCCGCCCTGGGTGGCAGTGACTTGAGTGTGTTGGGGGGGGCGCCAGCCCGAGCAGTGGGCAACCCTCACATGTTTGCAGGGCTGTAACACAACAGGTGTAGCTGCAGGTTCTGATCCCAGTGGCGCAGCAGCAGGAAGAGACCCCGGGCTGCAGCCTTGAGGGCAGCCAGGTCAAGACCGTCAGGCAAGTGCTGTGCCTGCAGCCAACAGTCGGCCTTAGCTGCTGCCAGTTCCCATTCGCCAAAGGCAGCGGCACAGCGGTGCTCCAGCCACGCGAGGGCCACTGCTGTGGCCCAGGTCCGGCCCCGCAGGTCGGCACCAACTGGCCCTTCTGCCCCCTCCGAGGCCTCAGTGTCTGAGCCCCGCCCACTGTCCACCTGGCCTGGGCCCTCAGAGCTTGAGCTGGGGGTCGGGCTGCAGGAAGCTGTGGCACTGTCACCCTGGCCAACACCAGGGCCCAGAAGGGCCCAGGGAGATGAGGCCGAAGTGGGGCTGAGGCTGGCACGGTGCACAGCAAAGGGTGAGGCACGGCACAGGCGCTCCTGTGGTATGCTCACAGCTGTACAGAAGGGTGCGTCCAGGCGGAAGGAGCCAGGCGCCTCCTGCAACCGCACCTGAGGAGAGAGGAGGTGGGGGGAGAAGTGAGCTGAGACAGCGCCCTGGGCCTGGCAACGTCACCCTCCACCTCCCGAGTCCTCACCAAGGGCAAGTAGTCGTGGTCGCTCCCTTCACTGTTGTGGTCACTGATCTGGCCCGTGTTAGGGCTGCAGAGTCTACGGCTGTCTGGGCCTCTGGCCTTCCGAAGGCCCAGGCTAAGCCTAGAGGAAGGCTTGGGGGGCAGATGATGATGACCTCTGGTGGGGGCTGCAGGGTTCCACAAAGCAGACTTGCAGTTGCCATTTTGGTCTGGGTCCCAGCCACCTGCCAGGGAGCCTCCCTGAAGTCCTGCAATGGAGCTAATCAGTGCCAGTGGTGGTTCCTAAGCCCAGTTGTTCCTTACCACTTCCCCAAATTTGAGTGTTACCTTCAGAGTGGACAACTGTGGGCAGAGGAGTTGCAACTAGATGGCCCTGAGAGGCAGGAGGGGTACCTGGAGGCTCGGCTGGCTCTGCAGGGGCACAGAAGATGGCTGAGGTTTGTATGAGAGGGTGGCCAGTGAGGTGAGGACTAGCACCTGAGAGGTCACTAGGGAGGGATCCTACCTGAGCTCCGCACCTGCAGGGCTGAGGGCAGGACCTCCCTTGTGGTAGCGTCCACAGCTACAGGGCAGGTGAAGCAGGAGGGGGCAGAGCTGACCTTGCTTGTCTGAAGGGCTCGGAGCCAGGACCTCCGGGCATGGCCTGTAAACCCATGAAGCAGTATGCTGAACAGGAGGGGGTGCACTCCCATCATCCACCCTCTATAGAGGGCTTCATAGAAAAAAATCTCAGTGCTCCCCATAGCTTCTCCCTCTGTCCATTTTTGAACAGAGTGGAGTTATTTCTCACGGTCAGGACAAGCTCAGACTCCCCAACTTTGACAAGAAGTGGTTAGGCAGAAACTGTCAACTCATAGCAAGGCTAGGACCCCTGGCCACCCAGAAATTCAACATCCTGGACACCATGAAGGAAGCATTGACTGGTGCCTTTTCTATCCACTCATTTCAGCACTGCCAATAAAACTTTCTGTGATGACAGAAATGTTCTATAGATCTGCATGATCCCATATAGTAGCCACTAGTCACATGTGACTGTTAAGCACTTGAAGTGTGGCTAGTGCAACTGACGAACTGAAATTTTAACTATGATTTTAAGTCTTCCTGAATGACATTTTTTTAATGTTATGGGCATTGTGCCTCATTACAAGATCGCATTTTCCTCTGTTGGCTGCTAAGAAGCTTGCCAATTTTGGGTCCCATGTTTGCAAAGGCACATAACCTCATGGTGTGCATCTTTAATAAAACCTCATTACCCCTTTCATTTTATTATCCTTTTTTCCCCATTGCCCTGCTTAATTTTTTTTTATTGTCAATGTGGGTGAGCCACCTCAAATTGTGAGCAAGGTGAGGTATAGAGTGATCAAACACACCCATACCTCTGCCACTCTGCCCCATTCAGGCTTCATGGGCCCACCAGCAACTCACCCCAGTCAGTCATGGTCTCAGCCCCTCCTCGGAAAGCCAGCTGCTCATTGTCCCGAACCACGGAAGCTGCTGTCAGCCGATGGAGTGCTTGGTCCCAAGCACCTTCTCTTTCAGGGGGTGATGAAGGCAGTGACCCATCATTCCCAGACCCCCATAGTGTCTCTAGCCCAACACCCACCTCCCAGCACACAGGCTGCTCCCCACAAAGGGCCCGGATCACCACATGGCAGCGTGGAGCCTGGGGAGGTAGTGGCATTGCAGGGGGCCCTGATTCCCTATTGGGGGGCACAGCCGTGAACAAGAAGGGTGGTTCCATCAACATGTCCCAGTCCATGGGGGCTGGAGAGAGCAGGTTTCCTGAGGAGACAATGGCAAGGACAGGGGAAGTGTGGTGCCCTGGGCTCTACTTCCCTAAGGCCTCCTTGGGGTCAGAATCCAGCTCCCTATCCAACCCTTACCGGAGTCATCCAGACCTGGTCCCAGCTGCTGCCCTGGCTCAGGGCCTGACCCATCTGGTGCTGCGCCCAGAGAGGGGTGCCGGGGATGGCTATGAACTGGGTTCACCTGGCCTGGGGGTGATGAGAGACTTCGGCCAGCCAGAGCTGCTCTGCGTTGACGGCCCAGCACCTCAGCACTTAAGGCCCCAGGCTGCATGAGAGAAGTGGGGTCCACTGGTTAAGGAATATAGAGCTCCTGGCCATCATACATACACACACACTGGTCACATGACCCTTTGTCTGAAACCCTGAATGGCTGCTCACCAGCCTTAGAAGAAAGGCCAGGCTCCTCAGGGCGCTGGCCCCCTTCCTAGAGTGATCTCACTCCATACCCTATCTCTCACTTAAGGCTGTTGCCTGTCTCTGTTCTTGTTCATGTAGTCTGCCCCCTTTGCCTGGCTCACTTCTACTTATTCTTCCGGATATGGCTCTTGCTTTCCCGACTCCCTCAGACAGGGTTAGTCACTTGGACTCTGAGCCCCCATAACACCATGTCCCTGGGCTCATCACTCTAGTTGGATGGTATCTTCATTATAAATTTATCCATCTAGCTCTTCAGCTAGATTTAATAGTAACCACTGCACAATGTGTGGCTTACAGCAGATGGTCAACAAATGTCTGCTGGATATATGGTGAACGGACGTGGACTGCATCTCACCTTGACTGGAGCCAGTGGGGGTGGAGGCAGGGGGCAGGAGCGGGAGCCTGCAGGTTCTCCCCAGGCCAGGCTTCGGCAGCCTTGCTGAGAAGGGGGATCCAGGGGAGCACTGCCCTCCGGGGAGCCAGGGCCCTGGGAGCCAGGGGACTCACTGCTGCCTGTGGAGCCTGGGCCTGGCTCAGGGCTGGCAGAGCAGTGGGTGAGCACATACTGCTCCCGGATGTATGAGGACTGGAAGATGCGGCGCCATATCGCTGTGTCAGAGGGGTTGGGTCCAGGGTCTGTGACTGGGTCTGTCAGAGCATCAGTACCTGATGGAGGCAGGAGAATGGACCCCAGGCCTGACTTCTCCCACTGCCCATTCCTCCTCCAGCACAGACAAACACATACACCCAACACTTACTCCGCTCCGAGTTCCCTGCAGCCCATGGGCTGAACAGCTCTCCCAACACAGTGCCTGTTCCCAGTGGCTCTGAGGTGGCAGTGGGCTCAGTGTCAGGGCTGGTGGCAGATGGCACCTCCTCTGGGGATGGAAACACAGAGCCACCCAAGCTCTGCCAGCCAGGCTCTTGGCCCTAGAGAGGCATAGTCATTGGGGGGAAAAATTGACTGTAGTTATATGCTACCTCTTTCCAAACAGGATTTAAGATGGCTAACTGCAAGAGGCAATAAAGTTAATAAACCAGAAATGAAAGCCCAGTACTAAGTAAAGAGGAAGAATTCGTGCTAACCACAGGGTTAATAGTGCAGCTGAGCTTCAGGTTTGGCCCTGAGCTTCCTGGCAACCAGGCAAAAAGGCAAACAGTCCATTATAGAGAGAGAGCGCTCATGATCAAAAAGGAGGAAGCATGCTTAGTTCCTCTAGAGCAGCGGTTCTCAACCTTTCACAGGGGTCACCTAAGACCATCGGAAAACACATATTTTCAATAGTCTTAGGAACCGAGACACCACTCCTCTATCCGTCTCCAGGCCCACATGCAGATACGCCCACATACGAGTACCTGGCAACCCCTGTGAAAGGGTCGTTCGACCCCCAAAGGGGTTGCGACCCACAGGTTGAGAACCGCTGCTCTAGAGAAAGAACACTTTTCATAATAAAAACAACTGTCATTTCTCAGACTCCTACTATGTGTCAAGTATCCTACCAGGAGCATGTATATTATGACCTCTAATTACAACAACCTTATGAAAAAAAATCAGTACGCGGAAATGGGCTCAGAGAAGTTAAGTGACTTGCCCAGAATCAAATGGCTAGTATGTGGCAGAATTGGGATCTAAGATTTCATCTAACCTGTGCTCCCTCTGTCCCTGAATGTTCCAGGAAATAATTGAGTGATGCTTTCTGAAGGGCACTGTGTGAAATAATGAGCAAGTTTTGACAAAATCTCATAGCAAATGCTGGAGCTGTTTTCGGTGTCTTTGTGCTTTAGTGACCTTTGGTAAAAGCCAAGGGCAATACACTTTACAGAACAACTCAGTAAAAGACCTCATGATGGGGCAGGCTGCAGGCACCCTGGGTGGCTCAGTGTGATCTCTGAGGAGAGCAGGGGGTAGTAGGAGAGTTTGGCACAGAAAATGGAAGAAGGGTTTGGAAGAACTTCAGGGGCTTCAGTTACTCCAGGCCCACCTCCCAAACCCCAGCCCAGGCCTACCCCAGCGGGGCAGGGCCGGAAGCCATCCACCCTGAAG